GGGGGGGGGGGGGGGGGGGGGGGGGAACGGCAGATTGGCTACATACGTCCGTCTTGCTCGCTTTGTCTTATCCCGCCCTTCTCCCCTTTCTTTGGGGCGGACTGTCATTTTGTTGTCGTGATCGTGTTCAGAGAGTGGGGCGTAGGTCTTTGGGAATCCATCCATCAGCGTATCTTCTGTACACATCCCGTTTTGCTTCTTTTTTTTTTTTTGCTGTCGTCTTTGTGCTTGACAGGGGGGGGTGAGCCACCTGCAGAAGCGTGCTCCGGCAACGTGAACAAAACAGTGGCATCCTTCCCCCTCTTCCCGGGTTTTGCCCTTCCCTTTTTCCTGCCCCCCTGTTGTCGGGACGCTCCCTCACGTGGCGCCGAAGCACCCCCGGTCCCGTCCTCGTCTTCGTCGCTGTCGCTTTCGTTGCCTGCGAGGGGGGCGTCGAGCTGCGCCCGCACAGACCCCTCAGACAAATAGTTGGCACTATTCGCGGGGCGACAGTTGTTGGCGTGCGCCGCATCGGCTTTCGGCTTCCTTCGCGCGTTTTTCCGGGTAGTGCCGTCCCTCCCCGCGAACTTGCCATCGGACAGACTCTTCTTTTGTTCTGCCGTGAGGTGCGCCTGACCCTTCACGACCTTCATAGCCCTCCTCTCAGCAGCCTCGATGACATTCGTGGCCGGCGTCGTCAGCGGTTACAACTCCAACGACGCGGATGCAGATGGCGATTCGCAGTGCTCCTCTTCATCACGCGGTTCAGCACAGCGCCTTCAGCATGTGCCCAGTGCGTCCATCGAAAGTCGCTACGCTTGGTGGCGTGCCCGGCGATGGTACCGTTGACGCTCTCCAAGTACTGCGTGCGCAGGTCGTGCATGAACGCGTTCGAACGAATGCACACGACGTCCACTGTTGTGTTCGTACCACACGCTGCGCATGGGTATGAAGCGTGTGTAACTCACCGGCTGTTTTCTCCAGCACGTCGCCGGCCCCCCTCGTGGCACGCAGAAAAAGGAAGGGGCTGAAGCCTGCGGCGGAACTGATTTTTTGAAAGCGGGGGGGTTTTCCAAGGTTTCCCAAGCTATAAAAACTATTTCCCGTATACCCTCATGGACTTTCCAGGGTCCATGCTGCCGGGACTCTGTCCCCGTGAGGGCCGGCAGCGACAATGAGTGTCCACACACACAATAGTCTTTTATTTTTCGCAGAGTGACAACAAAGCCCAAAGGTGCAGAGGGGCTCCGTATGTCAACTAACACACAGGGTATACGCCCTGCAAGATATCCGTTTCACGGAACGTTCGATGCCCGTAGATGACACTCCAGATTTCTCAACCTTCTCCGAGGTGGCTACCAACGACCAAAAGTCCACAATGCTCCCAAAGGGCATACTACTCCAAAGTAGACAACATGTGCCTGATTTAAAGGTAGACATCTCTAAAGTACGACAACAACAAACTTAATTCACGCATGCAAGCAAATTGGCGTCTTCAGAATCCACTTACCCAAGAATGAAGTTCTCATAAATGATCCCAACTTGTGGATTTCCTCGCCTCGCATCTACAATATGCGACCATGTCGTCATAAAACTCGTTCATCATCTCATCGGACCTGATCAACATCTGCAAGACAAATTCTGCTTTCCACTACAAAACCAAGAACGAAGTTGTCATCAATGATCCCAACTTGTGGATTTCCTCGCCTCGCATCTACAAAATGCGACCATGTCGTCACAAAACTCGTTCATCATGTCATCGGACCTGATCAACATTTGCAAGACAAATTCTGCAATTTCCAACATTATAGCATAGACTTGTAGACACAAATTACCAGCCAAAGATACCGTTTATAAATCCTTGCTAGACAGAAACTTTGCATTAGATCTTCTGAAGAACGATGCAAATCATGAAAAAAAATCCAACAAAACGACAGGAAATCACATCACGGCGCATTCGAGTTCGCAGCGAAGATAATTGTAGACGTCGCGATAAGCCTCTTTTTCGGCTGTGAGGTAATTCCATCTCGATAGCTGAAGAAAAGACCAGCCACCTTGCCGAGCTTCTCCGCCGCTTGAATCTTTTTTTCCTTCACGTTTTCCCCCGACGCCGCGACGTTGTACCCCAGCAGCAGTTTCCCGCCCAGTGTTGATGCCCCCATGATGTCGTCCACCACATATTCCTGCGCCTCTACGAACAAGTAGTCGTTCGACATGACGTCGAAGGACATCGCGACTGGCGCTGCTACAACGGTAGTGGTCGGTAGCGTCAGGCTTGTCGCTCTTCTGCACCCGCCCACGCGCTTCGTCGAATGTCGCCTCGGACGATACTATGTGGTCCGACATTTCCATCTCCGGTTGCTGCACCGCGTCGCTTCGAATTTCTTCCGTCAAGAGGAACATGACCACGATCCGCACCGCCACCATAAAACCGGCAAATGCCCATTTGGTCGTCTCCGTCGCCTTCACGTCAACCTTCAGCAATGCGTCCCTGCCCTGCTCCTCGTGTGCGAGAGACATAGCCATTGCAGACCCGCGAGCCGCCGACTGCTCAAGCGCCTTTTCGGGCACCTCTTCTTGATCCATTTGCTGCGAATCAGCAACGGTCCGCGCCACAAGCCGAACTGCCGTGACGTTGGACGAGTCAAAATCCGAAAACCGATCGTCATGACGTTCGCGAGCATGCTTCTCGACCGCCTTGCACACATTGATCCCCATGCGATCCAGCATGGGGCTTCCGACAATCGGCACGTCGTCATTTCCAGGCATGACGGCAAATCGTTGCTATCTCAGCATAACCGGACCCACCCGGTGTGGATCGCCACGGTCACCGGGCACGTTTTTTCCGTGGCGAACACCTCGCGCTCATCAACCACCTTCAGTCTGTGCAATTGCTGCATGGCCTCCACTACGGCGACACCCGGATTAGCATTCTGAAGGCTTCACGCGACACTGGTCGACATGGTACTCAGACCAGCGCCCATATCGAAGACAGCCTTCACAGGGCATACCGTGGGTTGTGCGGCCCCTGAGCACAGATAAGTTCACCAAGCATGTCCGCTCCTGAGGCTCGATTTCCACCCCGTCTGACATGAGCGCCGCCATACCGCCCGAGGAAACAGCTCTCCACGAGGAAACCACAGGAGGAACCACAGCGGGATTTGCCGGCGGGTTGCCATCCGATACAACTCCACCGGCCACTACACGTGGGAAAAGGTTCGGTGGCAACCCTGAGTCTCCAACTCCTCATGCACAACAGCACGTCCCGCAACTGACGTCCCTGATTTCTGCTGAACGCCCCCTTGATCGGCGGGAGTACCCTTGACCTGCTGTGCCCCATGAGTACGCTGCTGTTGTCCCTGCGAGTGCGCATCATATTTTCCCGCATCGTCCTCGGGTCCACTCGATGCCGCCGAGCCAGATCCCGTGCTACCCTTGGAGAGGCACGCGGTGAACATGTGCCCAACCTCGCCACACGTCCAGCAAGTGATTTTACTGTTGAACTGACGGTCTTTCTGCTGGGGTTTCTGCGGAGCACCGTCCGCACCTCCAGGAACCGATATTCCACGTCCCCGAGTCCGAGCATCTTGTCGCTCTACCACGCGCCATTTGATCGCCTCAGAGCGAACCACGGCGAAACCGGCAGCCAGGTTTTCCTTCCAGTTACCCTTCAGTTTCAGAGCTGCTTCGACGTCCTCCTTGAACCCACGAGGTTAAAGTTCACAGAAAATATCGGCAGTGACGACCCGGGCAGGGCCACTCTCATACTGCCGCTTTGCATTCCGGAATATCCGAGCAACACTCGGATGAAAAATCGTTTCGAGTCTGTTTAATAATTAATTATTATGAACTTTCCAGGGTCCATGCTGCCGGGACTCTGTCCCCGTGAGGGCCGGCAGCGACAGTGAGTTTTCACACACACAGTAGTCTTTTATTTTTCGCAGAGTGACAACAAAGCCCAAAGGTGCAAAGGGGCTCCGTATGTCATCTAGCACACAGGGTATACGCCTTGCAAGATATCCATTTTAGGAACGCTCGTTGCCCGTAGGTGACACTCCAGATTTCTCAACCTTCTCCGAGGCGGCTACCAATGACCAAAAGTCCCCAACCCCCCCTTTAGCAAACCCTAACAGCGATAAGCCGCCCCCCTTTGACAAGAAATCGCCACAGTGCTCTCTTGTGCAGGCGTTTCCGAAACCATCAAGACAAGTACAACCACATGGACTCACAAGCACTAGCGCAACAGCTGTTCGGTTCTGGCATTGAAGGTCGGGTCAGTCACGCGGGCCTATTTTCAGGAAAATTGTTGCAGCACCGGAAATATGCGATTCTCGAACAACCTGAACGACATGAGATGCAGCGTTCGCCGCCGGTGCCATTTCCCGTTCGTGCGGCAATGTCGCCGAATGTGGGACTGCTGTCACGACCTGTTCCGCATAGTATCTAGAGTTGCGTACCCATGGTACATGACTTGCCTGGGAAGCAAATTGGTCCTCCTGTATAATACGAAAACAGTCCTTATGTGTGTATACACTTGAACGCATCCTGCTGCCCATTCACAGCCTCGCCCGCGCGCTAGCTCAAAAGCCTTTCTTTCTTTCGAAAAAAGCGTACTCCATAGTATATACAACACCGACGTGTACCATTCCTTTGCGGGCGGAAACGTGGAACTTCGAAGTCGAGTTTGTTCCTCGCGCGTGTGTGTGTACAAGACGATGGTGGTTTGAACGAGCGCGCAGAGCAAACAGTCGTGGAACATTCCTCGGCGGGACCGTGTCACGGCCTTGTTATGTTTCTTCTCATTCCTCTACGTTTTTTGTGCGTATCCTCCTTTGCGGCGTTATCTTCTGTTTTGCCTCCCATCAGGTGATCGGCGCAAACATTTTCTTCATGATTAACTGGCTTGCGCACGGTCTGTTCCAGAGCACCGGTAAGCGGAAAATGCCGAAACAACCATGCTTGGGTGTCCCTCCCACGTAGATCGTCTATGGGGCACAAGAGCAAAATACTAGGCCTTGACATTATGTCGACCAGCACGTTTCTGGGTCTAAGCATGTCCTAGGTGTGAAAAGACGTTGGGCCACACTGGTGTAGACGACGAAGAGCACATTTTCGATCAGATTTTGGCTCAAATGATCGCTTTCCATTTTCTACGCACATGGGAATCATCCAGAGCGTTCTAAACCCTGTGTTGTTGTCGTTGTCGTTGTTGTTGTTGTTGTTGTTGTTGTTGTTGTTGTTGTTTTCTCACATTAACTGATCCGCTGCGAACCCAGCCGTGGTCACAAAAAGGCAAGAAGGACGGAAAAAGTGCCCGGGGACACGGTCAAGACCACCAAGCAGGGGAAAATGAAGACATGTGTGTGTACGATGCATAGATATGGGCTCATACGGGCACAACGTTTGCACGCCCACGTAGTGCGGTTGGTTTCGGACCATTAATCTTCGTCAAACGGCTTGATTTCCTGCTTTTCTCAACTTTGGTTGATTAATTCAGGCGGTCCGGTCGGCACCGCCATCATGGGCAACTGGTTCGGCAAGCAGAACCGCGGTCTTGTGTTCGGAACATGGTGGGTCGACGCTCGCACGCAATGCATTTTGTCGACAGTGCTTGTATTCCTGACGTGGGTTTGCTGGCTGCGGGGGCTCCTCACAACGTGGTATCATGACGGTTGGAGGCCGTTGTGAAATTGAACTGTCTCCAGGATTTGTAGCAGGAGAATTGATGATGGGATCACGTTGTGTGTTGCATGCAGACATGCTTGAAGAACGTTAGCAGAAAACCAATTCAGTATAAAAGCAAACTCTTACCATTCACGCAGAACGCCTGACCAAATTATTCGCGTGCCCCCCCTCAAGACAGCACTCGCCTGACAATGTTTCCTCGTTCACGACAGGACCTGCCACCAGTACGTGGGCAACATCATCGCTGCACTCGTGGCTACGGCAGTCCTCTCCCGAGAAGGCGTGTCGTATTACTGGGCCCTCATCATCCCCGCCGCCGCCAACGCCATCTGGGGGCTCGTGATCTACATGTTCTTGCCGCCCCACCCGGAGGAGATCGGCCTCGAGTCACCCAAGGACACCGAAAAGGTAAGACGTTCGGGGTTGCGCTTGAAAATCCCGTTTTTGATATTTGGCAGGGGAAGTAATGCAGACAAGGCGTGTGTACGTTTGTGTTGTCCGAGGGGGTCGATTCGAATGTTTGGGGTGTAGGATTGGCGACATGGTCTGTCTACGAGCTTTGACGGAACTCGTGTGCTAGAGCGACTGTCCTCAAGGATACATCAGCTATGCAGCGGCTGTCCTCAACGCCGTCCCAAAATATACTGTTCCATGCATGTTTGTGTGTGGCCTTCTCACTTTCCTTCTCTCCAAATATGGCCCGTGCAGCGGGAAGCCGGTGGCGATGTAAACGAAGGCAGGACTGACGGCGAGGAGACTGCTATCTCCATCGTTGAGGTACGCGTGGCAGCTCCAGAGTCTGATCTTGACTTGACTGGTGACTGCAAACTATTGCCGTTTTCCTCCCCTCCGCTATGAATCAACCCCTCTTCCTCTTCCAGTCCGTGGATCTCTGCGTATTTCCACGATTTGGCTCTACGTTTACGTCTTGAGGTGCACAGTTTCGTAACCCCCTGGCATCGCCGTGTGGGCAAAGACCTTTCGTTCGGTTTTAGTCATTCTGTTGGCGAAGTTTTCTTATCATTATCCTTAGTTGATGTGGTCACCTACTCTTGGTTCTGCGCATCAATCATGTCGAGCACCTCCAAGTCGATCATGTGCACACACTGAACGTTCACTTCTTTTTTTGAGGCGAAGAAGGGCGACTTGTATTTCACCATCCCGCTCTTTTATTTTCCCCTACAACTGCAACATGCAGGCATTCACTATCCCTGCCGTGGCTTCTTACGCCATCGCCTTCGGCTTCTTCAAGTTCACCAATTACGCCCTGTTCTTCTGGCTGCCTTTCTTCCTCACCAGCCACTTCAGCCCCTCGGAAAGTAACCTCATCTCCACGCTGTACGACATCGGCATGATGCCAGGTGGGGTGTCTTACGCCGGCAAAGGTTCTCGTGGTTCTCGTACCCGCTGTATTTCCTGCAGGATACTCTCACCTGTGTGCCATAGGTGATTTACTCTTCAGTGTGGGAGCATTGTCAACGGCGACACATACCGCCAAGCACATACCTTCGAATGGCTAGCTCGTGCTGTGACGCGCGTTAAACACCACCTAAGGCGCTTCAGTGCCGTGCTTATGTTTCAGGTGGCATCATCGTCGGCGTTGTGAGCGACGCATTCGGCGGCAGGCGCGCCTGTGTGATCGTGACCTTCCTCTCCCTGCTGTGCGTGCTGCTGGTCGTCTTCGCCGAGAAGTCCGATGACATGGCGGCCGGGCCGCTCCTCGTGCTTCTCGGTCTCATGGGCGTGCTCGTAGGAGGGTGAGTTGATTACACGCCCAGGGTAAAAGGCGTGGGCTGGAGAGGTATTAAGAGTAATCCGGGTTGACTCGAAATTTTGATGGAGTCTTCTTTTCGTCATGTATGCTCTCTCCCGTGTTCGTTTAGACGCTTGTGCAAGCGGAGAGCTTGCTCTAGATGCAGAGTGCCACATACATACCCCGAAAGTTCCGCCCAAGACAACCTTTCGTTCGCCGCAGTCTTTTGACAATTTCGCTGGCCCCCGTGCCCCCCTTCAGCGTCAGTCTCAATCTCTATGGCCCTCTTATCACAATCAGGCCCAACAACATCATCTCTTCGGCCGTGGCGGTCGATCTTGCCGGACACCCCAAGCTTGCGGGCACGCGTTCCTTGGGCACGGTGACCGGGATCATCAACGGGTCTGGATCTATTGTCGCCGCCGTGGGTGAGACATTCGAGATCATTATTTCCCTGCACGTAGGAAAGCCGTGACAGATACAGTATGGTTTACATGAACTGAACACACGGCAGTCTTGTGTAAAGGCAGACGGCGTGGTAGCCGTCCGTTTCATAAGAGACAATGCTGTGTCGCTCGTTTTATCCCATCATACGTTCATTGTATGCATGTATGTCCCGCTTGTGTCCCAGGCCTCCTGATTATCGGCCCGCTGCAGAACTTCGGCGGGTGGAAGGCTGTGTGGTACTTCCTGGTGGCTTCCACGATCGCGGGCATGGCCCTACTTGCGCCTCTGGTGCACAAGGAGATCTTCAACCATGGACATGTGAGACGAAGACGAAAGAACGAACATTCTGCGGTGGCAGCCGTTTTTGGCCGGCATCACATAACACGTGCCACTCTGCAGCTTTGAAAATCTGTGCTAGGGTTTCGCCCGCGTCCAAACCACGGGCATTCTGATTGAATTCGCCACCACCCGCTGTTCCGTTATTTGTCCTTTGTCTGCGAAGGAGGAGGAGGAGGAGGAAGAATCCAAGCCTCTCGCGAGCAACAACGCCGGCTACAGCGCCGTAGAGTCCGCTCCCTGAGTTTGACCACCCGGTGCTATCATGCCCGACCACATTCAAACAACCGCACGCTGAGAGCTCTGACCGCGTGCCGTCGTTTTCAGCTCAGAGCAAAAGTGGGACAGGCAAACGAATTGGCGTGGTTTTGTCTAGGACAGGAAGGCTTCGTGCAACATGTGGCAATCATTTCGTGATCATAAACGTAGTATTTGTCAGGGAAGCATGCGTTGACGTGGTTGTGACGCGTGCAGACTAGGGAGTGAGATGGGGAGAATGTGAGGAAGGAGGCCGAGATTTTACTTTTGGGTGTTGTAAATCCTTTAATCCTCTTGGGCGCAGGCCAAGACGTTACGCGTCTGTTTCGTATTACCTGCTCCCGTTCCCCGATCGCTTCGTTGGGATTGATGTTGATTTCCGTGTTTCGGCGCTTTGCACGAAGTAGCTATATCTGCTGGTGCGGCCTTCGCTCACCTTTCCCCAGGTGTGAAGGACATTCCTCTATCCATAGCCTTTGGGAGAGTTCTGCCCTGGGCGACAATTGTAGCATGTGGAGGCTCATGTCGGGACACATGTCCTCGCCTGCGCGGCTACACGAAGGCTGCGAATGGTGCCGTTCTGTGTTGATAAGGTTCAGAAATGGTGATTACCGCTTGCTGGTTGAACGAGTGGGTGTACGATAGGCCTACAAATTAATTGTGGTGCGATTTGGAAGAAAGGGAGGCACCCAGCGTGTGGCCCTACGTCGTACTGCTTGCTTTCGTCTGAGGATCATGCAATCAATGTCTGGCTGGATGTGTTGCGCGATTGAAAGTCAGGAACCCGGGCACATTAAATATGCCTTTTCCCATTTTGCGTCAATCAAGAGCTCATAGAATTTCAAGCAACCTGGCGAAAATTGCACCGAACAAAGAGTAGTCGGGCCAAACAGTGAATGGAGCAAGAGATACATTAAGTCTCAAGTTTACCGAGACCGATTGGCGTCCAGGCGTTGGGGTCTGCATCACCAAAATATGGGCTACTGTAGTGTTGTCGTTGAGCCTTTTGTGCCCCGGGGGAGGAGTAGATGCCGAGTGAGGTCACAGAAGAACCCCCCTCAAAATGTCTCGGTTGCATGTCCAGCTGAGCATGCAAAGAACGCTTGAGGAACACTGCCGTGTCTTTACCTGTTCCGAGCGACCTCGCGAAAGAACCAACGCCAGCAAAACATGGCAGTTTTGCACGAGTCCACACCACACAAAAATCGCGCTTATAGTTCGAAGGTCGGTGTTCGTACACCTTGTTTGAACCGAGCGTACTTCCACCAAGAAGGCTAATCCAAAACAAATCGTGCTCATCTAGTCATGATCGTATCCCGTCGAAGTGCCGACGACTTCAGCATTCTGGGGCACTGGTTGTTGGCGCGGCTGATACTGTAAGGTCTGCACTTTGCAAGAAGACGCCGACAAAGCAACAGGCATTTTTTCCCTGACAAGGAAGGCACGATCGCGTCGACAACAAACACAACTTCGCTGCATACGCGCTTTTGCCCTGCGGTGTTCAATTGGAGCATTCTCAATAATCGCGTTGCTCCTTGCCAATCGCACATTGTGCATCACACGCATGGCTGTATGCCTGATGCATACAATGCAAATGCATCTGTACGTCACATGCGGGAAGACTCCACACGATCTCCTACACTGTTTGACATATCAGAGTACTTCCTTCATGGAAGTGCTGAGTTTACTTCCACGGAAGTGCTGCGCTTCCGTGGACGTGGTAGACTAATTCAGGTGACTTCCATGGTAAGCACCATCTGTAAGTTCCACGGAACTAAGTGCAAAACCCCGTCAAGACACTTCGCTACTCCCGTAGAATTCCACTTTCATGGTATAGGTATGCCGAGCATGTAGTGTCCAATTTGTTGTGGCATCTGTGCTCGAGAGAGGGGAAGATCTCAGGACGGGTGATTCTTTGTTTCGACAAGCGGCAGTTGGTACCCACCCCGAAGAGCTTTGCACACGTGACACGGGGACAGTCCGCCGGCGCAAGCGCTGGCGCCAAGAGGAAGAACCACAAGCTACATTCGAAGAGGCCACGCGCTCCGCCGCAACCTCTGTTCACGAAAGCGCCCACGGGTTTTGAGATAAGAGATAAGACGCCGGACGCGGCTGAATGGCAGACTTTTCTCGAGGACCGGCAGCACCGTGACGGTGTACTTTCGGTTTTGTGCAAGTTCATCCGGTACCAGTACGATACAATCCGCAAAAAGACATCAGACGGCGTGGGGTTGGAATATGGGGAATCGTGCCTCCAACGACTTCAGCTGGAGGTCGACGGGGAGCCTGTTCTGTCCAGTGACTACTTGCGGACAGAGTGATATTTGTCGTGAGGAGCTTGACACAATACTCCTCGAAGCCAACGGTATTGGGGAGGGTGAGCTCCAGGCTCTCCACCACGCGTACATGACGGGGAAGAACGACAAAGAGAGCAGAGGGCAGGGGGGGGAGGTACGAGAGGGTGGGGTGGTGGTGCCTACAAGCGAAGATCCCGCGATAGTGGAGGTGAGTCCTGCTACGGTTGCACATTTTGGCCCATCATCTTGTCGTATTTGGATTCTTCAGAATGGATGTTCTAACATAAACTCGGAATTTGAACGTCAGTGGTGTTTTTTTATCTAGCCGTTTGGAAGACTTCTCGCGTCGCACGCTCATATGGTGCTAGTGTCCCTTCCAGGCTGAGATATCAAGCTAGTATCTTTGAAGACTCAGATACGATTCACGCACCCCTACTTGCATGAATCAGCTCTCCTGGCGTACGCCGTGCATCCGTCGACTCGGGACGTGCGTGTTATCGTGCGACAACAGAGCGGGGTGACCGGTAACACCTACGTCAACTGCATCGACGTCCTGAAGCTTTTCCAAGATCTATCGGCAATGCGAAATTGGCCATCTTCGTTCACCAATTTGCAGAGGGTGCTACCGATAGTCTCCGCATTTGTTCTTAACGGGACTGACTTTACTCCAACGCTTAGTGGCTTGACGGCATCGAGTATGTTCCAAGCACTACAACGCGTTGAAGGATGCCGGCAACCACAACTTTGTTCTGCCGCTGGGTTCCGAGCAACGTGAGGGGGGGGCGGTTTCTGGTGTAGACCTGGCCAGAGAGGAATTGGTGAAGTTTGTCTCGCTAGCGTACTTTACAAAACATCGCAAACTCTTTGTGAACGTCCTTCCGGGACGCCAGGTAAGGTCGGAATACCTGGAAGGGCAGGTCGATGACGTAGGGCCATGGGTCCAGGCCATCAGCGACCGCACTATCGAACATAGTTTTGGGAAGGGGGACATTAAGGCTCCTGCCCCAAATTACGACGTTATTAACAACTGCGTGCTACGCATGGAATGGGCGGTGGAGTATTGGCTCTCGATTGTGCCCGTCCCTTCCGAAAATGTGTCCGCCTTGTATCCGATTCAAATTCCCGACTGGAATGGCAAGCGGTACATTGCGAATCCGGAGTGCGAAGGGGGGGCTTTGCTGGTGTTGCGTGATTTGCCGAAGGTGACCCTCTGGTATATTTCGTTGTATTTCTTGCTGCAAATATGTTATCAACAGGACGCGGATCCCAAAGCACAGTAAACAAATATTTGGGGCTGTTCTTCACGTAACACCACCCGCTACAACTGCTTCTGGTAGTACACACAAAACTAAAATAGGTACACACGCTCCGATGCCGCGGCCAGCGCGGCGTGCGCCTCATGTCACAAAGGGAAGCTGCCGAAGACGTCAGTGAGAAACAACGGCACACAAACGAGAGAGTCCTCGCCACCAAATAACAGCACTGACCCCCATATACTCGAGTCGGCTACGTGTTGCCGGTAAATCGCAGCAATCACAGTAGTACATTTCCCTCATTCCTAGCGCACTCATGAATTGCTCGTACGCATTACCGTTCAATGTTGGGACATGGGCTTGTGGGGTCTACCGCAAGGGGCGCGCCCTCTGACACCTGAGGTCAGCGGTCGGGCTGACCTGAAGCCTGAGCGCAACATAGAAAAAAAAACGGGTCCATGCGCGATTTCGTCCTTCCGGACTCTCAACAACCCATTCTAACTAGGAAGAAATAAAAGCTTCGTGCCATCACTACTACTATATCCACTACCAGGAGGGTACCACACACCCCAAAATTCGCCCACCCTTACGTGGGCGGGTTGGTACCGGGCCCTGCTCATCATCATGCATAGAGCCGGGGGGTTCGCCTGAAGCCAACCTGCTCGGTCGGCACAGGGTTCCAGAAACGACAGCGGCAATTTCAGCGCCACGCCTTTCTTCGCCACCGTCAACGCCGCCTTGACAAAGGCCAGCGCACCCTTGTACGGGGGGCTCGTCACTACCCAGTCAGGTTGTTGCCCGTGGTGTGCTGCCGTGAAATCGTCCGTAAATGACGCCGAGCTCGCGTCCAGGTTCGTGTCCGGAGACAACCTTGAAAAAAAAAACAGGTAAATAAACAGGACGGATGCAAAGGGCGTCAGAATATAGAACAACACTGACGCACTTACACACGTGCTTTTCCCCTTGTTTCCTAGGAATAAAACTTGCTCTGCAAGGTTAGAACAACACCAAAGCGTTTGGACCACACCAAAGAAAAAAAAAGGCCGCCGTCACTGTCGGTCACTCGTAGACTACGAATTCCCCCCACATGCTTTGGCCTCAATCGGATACAGTCAAGCTTGGGTTGCTCCATATGCGTGCACCGCAAGCAACATCTGTGCCTGGTAAACACTCGGTTTGCGGCATTTCGTTTCCACATGTAACCTATCTGCGAAACTTCAACGATAAAAAAGGGTACATGCAAACAACGAGCGGACTCATTTACTGCAGGTCCGCTGGTGCGAGCCTATCTACGACGTGGACCTGCACAAAACAAGGAACGGTAAGCTTGGAGCAGATTGCACGAGTAGGTCCGTTGAATGTAAATCAGCATCTGTGAGTGACTCTTGTCCGTTGAGAATCTACGCACTACGCGGTAGAACTTTTCGTCCTCGCTGCACACTTTTGCATCGCATCAGTTTGTATGCGCGAGAGAGAGATACGCCGCACGCCATCTCGTGCGGCCTATTTCGTCCCCGCTACGGCGGTGTCTTCCTGGCTGCTGGCCTACGTCAGCCTGCCAGCTCAGCGTGCCAGCTCAGCGTGCCAGCTCAGCGTGCCAGCTCAGTCCCCGCCACGTCGGCTTATCCGATGGCAGTGCCCTCGCTCTGCTCGCAACCCTCTGTCACTTCTATCCTTGTCCCTTCGGCTCTCACCCGAGATCCAACTCTGTCAACCTTTGTCTGTCCGGTGCTTTCTACGCATCGTCCATACCCACGACCGTTGCTCACGGAGGCCTCTTGTACCTTACAAGAGTCGAGAATTCACACCCTCCTGCGGTGCTTGTCTGAGAGCCAACCTATATATCCTTCAAAGCAGATTGATGCTACTGCTGTCAATTCGCCTAGCCGGCTCGACGTTGACAGGCACATGTAGAACGGCGTCANACTCAGCATCCTTCAAAACAGATTGATCCTACTGCTGTCAATTCGCCTAGCCGGCTCGACGTTGACAGGCACATGTACAACGGCGTCGTCCACACCAAGAGGCAAACAGCGTTGATAATGCGCCTACGAGTGGCCTCATTTCGTGCTGGGGAGTTCAAGGGAATGTTACGCTAGAATACCCAGCGCTATGGAACGAGCAGGAAGGGTGTCTATCTACTTCTCACCGCAAGCACACAAAAAAAAAAAGCGCGTCATCCCCTCACCTCGGTCGCACATCGTTCGTGAGTACTTGGCACATGTCTCGAAGGCGAATCTTTACAGCATCATCCGTCCCCCGCACATGTCCAGCAAACACCCGCTGATGCCAACAACACCCAGAAAAGCCTCCAACGCCGCGGGCGAAGTGCAGTAGCGATCAAAGCACCGGCGCTTCAGCTGCTTCACAGGTTCAGGAGCGCACGTCCACTTCGGCCCTCGCTTTGCTCGGCGTTTGGTAGGCGCCCTGCTTTCCCTTTGCTGGTTCAGTACGATCAGCTCCAACAGGCAACCCGTACGTTTACATAGGATGAGCTTGTCTATGCTTGGATCGCCGCACTTCAAGCCGGGGAACTTGTCTCCCATGCCGGCTGCCTCCAGGAAAGCCCGGACATTACCCCCGGTCCTTTCTCTCATACAGCGAACGTGAACTCTTGCCGTTGGTTGCTGGCACGCGCTGCAGCATTCCTCCGACATCACCCTGTCCGACAAAAGAGACGGAAGCAACATTCTACGTGTTTATTTGGGAGCTTCATGTGAGGGAAAGTGAACCAAGGGCACACCCATAGCATCCTGTTACTTTCATGGCTAAACCAGCAGTACAAGAGAGGCACGGGGGCCTCTTAACCTGCTGTACAGGATAGCAGCGGTGCAACCCAACCCGCGTTCTGGCGAGTTCCGCCGCGTTTTTGGAGGCACATCTGCTACACCGATTTCGCGCGCTGTAGTGCTGATCCCAATTAGTGCACATCTTTTATTCAATCTAAATCTATGGACCCGGTCAGCTGCCAGTTCAATCGCTGCTGCAGAGCACGTTTTGATGGTAACCACATGGGCTGAAAGTTGCCTGGCAAATCCGGTGTCTCCGTGGTCCGAAACTTTCCTCTTGTGCCCTCAAGCCATATACCCCTTTCTTTCTCCACCTTGCCGACATTAAAAAACCAATGAACCTCTCATNCTTGGAGGTCGTCTGGAACCCTCCCTGGACCGTACCCCTTTCTTTCTCCACCTTGCCGACATTAAAAAACCAATGAACCTCTCAACGGTGTATTACACAACTTGATCGAAGTTCCCGCCAAGTTTCGTGCCGATCCGAGGTGTTGGTGTGGAGCCCTGGGCTGGTGAAAAGGTGGTAGCAGTGGTGACCCTGGGGGCGCCAACGCGGGGGGATATTGTACGCTTTCCCCGCTGAAACCCGCGGCGTTCTTTTTTGTCTGTACTTCTTTTTTCCTTTCTCCTTTCCTATGGGCGCGAACACGTGTGTGAGCGACAGACACTGCTGTGAGACTGAAACACTTTGTGCCACGCAAACTCCCAATCAATCAAGACCACCGCTGGAAGAGACAGATAAATCTGTGAGACTAAAACACTGTGTGCCAGCCAAATAATCCCAGGATCTGCTCGTACCCACGGCGCTCACGTTGTTTATATGTACCCTATCGCTCAGAACCAACCACCGATTGTGGTTGACTGCCGGTCATGCCAGCGGTGTTCGACCTTACAATACAATGTACCATGGCGTGCAGCAATCACCCAGACTGTAGTGTGCCCGAGCATGAGCATGACCAAACGGTCCCGTTGTGTGAAACATGTCTTGGTATGCTATGTCCGCCTGCGCCATGGTCCGCTGGTGGTCAGCGAGGTCGCCGTTAGGAAGGAACGAGCAGGGAGAGGGGGCGGCGGTATGCGCTGCCGTCACTGCTGTACACAGAGCTTGAGACCGAGGTCTACTACTGTGTATATACTGGTCATTGCACTCAACACCATGACGATGGTAGAAAGCGATGAACGAATGTGCCGCATGGATGGGTATCCGCATGGATGGATGGGACAAAAGTGTACTGGAGTAACACTACAGCGTCTATCATCTGCCTGTGAAGGGGAGAAAAAAATATTTTTCACCTATAGTCTGTAGATTAGACTTGATTTTTTTTGCTGACTTAACACTGGCGAGCCGTTGGTTGGAGCGACAGAAGCTTGTAGTACATCCTGCAGGGGCCACACCATCAGACTGCCACTAAAAAACAAAGCGGCCAGCAGTGTGTAGACTAAATAGTTGCACCGCGATTGATTTTGAGAGGTATCGGCCACACGTCCGTCCGTCTACAGACTCTTACGCGGCATGTGTGACCCAAAATGACGTGCGTAGTCCACAGAGTTTTTACAAGCATACAGCTGACATTCGGATATCACAGAGCTACATGGGTGTAGCAAGATACGATTTTAGCAAATGCTTACTCTATTATTGTTGATCCGTTTGTTGATTGCTGGACAGCAAGAAACCGCGTTCTTTGGATTCGACTCGTTCAAAGCCCGCACAAGAAGAAGACTGCTTGCCCTCGGTAGTAGGTAAACACTTCCCCGACCTGGCCTCCTTCTAACGAGGGCAGCCTGTGTCCTTACTGGCTGGCGTCGACGATTAGATCAATATTTGGCATCCACCGACTATGCAATGGCTCCGTCCATCTCACGACCCTCCAGAATGAAGACGAATGGTGCCATCCGATGCCCCCCCATACCTTCCCATGCCTGACGGGCTTCCCCTTCCCTGCTGTCGCGTGGATGTACACCTTCTACAACACACAGACCCCGCCCCAACACTCAAGTAAGGCAAAACCGCGGCTTGCAGGACCAACCAACAATCAATCTCTTCCCTTCCCTTCATTTCATCCATCATCCGGAAAACTACAGTACCTCGCCAACCTTGCTTCTCTCCAGCAGAAACAACCTGGCCCTCATCTCGTTCCTCGCCCAAGGCTATCTTACGAAGACACGGTCGGCCCTGACCCGCCGTTAGACGCCTCTGACACCTGCATAGTATTGTGTGATGACCCTGAAGGATCTCGTGAATGTAGCCAAAGATTTCTGCTGAAGGTCGTATAAGCCAAGCAAAACCTTAACAAAGTACCAGCCAAGCGGGCCTCCGTTAAAACCAGAAGTACAACGTGCGATACCCGTTGATACTGCACAGTCTACACGTTGAACACAGGTACCGAGAACCTCACGCCAGAACCAGTGGCCCACAGTGACATACGTTGATGCACCCCCTAAGGTTCTGGTGGTCAACGCTACGGCCTTCCTTCTCCTCCTCCTCCTCCCATCCCTTGATCTCCTTCAGCACACAAAGTCTTGTCTGTGTGTTCCCGGGAAGGTAAGGGTAGGTGGACGATAGCACAGCGTCCATAAATAGCGTGCCCTGTGCAAGTCAATCTTGTGCTGTTGTCCATGAGTCCCTGAAACCAATCCAACATTGATCAACAAACACACCCTCACCCGTAGCACAGACGACAAATATCCCTCGTAACTTTCTGCCGCCTGTTATTTCTATCATTCATGCATCCATCCGTCGTCCACGCGTTGCTGATGATGAATACAGTTCTGGGATAACAACACACCAAAATTCAAAACTGCGCATGGTACCTCAGGCCGTATCAATGCCGCAACAACACCGGCAAGGCACACAAACGCAAAACACCATAAAATACGCTGGGCAACACGACGTACGGCAGTGCAAAGATCGAGACAATCAACCACAATCATACTCCCCCCCTTCGGTAAAACTTGTACACCCGACGAATTAAATGCCTTCGTCGCCGCTTCGCCCTGTTTCCTTGACCCTCGAGTCATTGGCAACCCCCCCCAAACCCCTGCCGCAGACCGCTATAATTTCGAGAAACGCGGGTGCGAACCCGCCTCTGCTCCCGCTCCCGCCTCTCTCCTACTACTTTGTTTCGGATTACCAGCCGCCGCACGCATGGCCGTGCTCAAATCCCCGGCCTGGAGTGCCGCCCCGCTCCACGTCGCCGCATACTCTAACCCATCATCCACGCTGTGGTCCCGCGCGTAGAGAAGGTTACGCTTGGTCCCGAACACGGCGACGGGGCTTTGCCTGGCAATCTCCGAGGCCGTCAGAATCGAGGCGGCGACGACTTCTGCTCGCTGGGAGCGACGGGGTGATACTCGTGCCGACGCCGCCGATGCCGCCCCGGCACGCGGTTTACCACCTGCCGTAGTAGCTGCGGCGGCGGCGGCGGCGGCAGTTGTTGCTTCGGGGGCGGCGACGACACGGGAGACGAATCCCATGCGTGATGCCTCGGCCGCTCCGAACGTGCGTCCAGTGTAGGCGAGCTCTCTGCAAAGCGACTCGTTGCCCACTATCTGCGGTGTTGATATTTCGTCAGTTGTAATATGACGTTAGCGTTTCAGCTTTCAGGCAAGCGTGGTTGTGGTGGTGTGTGTCTGTGNACACAAAACACTTCTATCTACCATGAACTGGGACCCCGTGAGGGGGCAGCATGGGGGAGGCTAAACTATCCTTCGGATTAAAAACAGAAACAGCAGCAACAGACGAAAAATGCACGCGTCTACCAAGGCTATTACCTAGTACTCGAGTTCGTTTAGGAGTACTTTCACCATTATCCTCCTTGTTTTCGCTACCATTATTCTGATCCTCATTTGGACAAGAATCTCTGGCCAGTTCTTCCCTAGTCCTACGTTCTTTCTTTTGGGGAAGGTCATCTGGCTCAAACCCTTTGCTCTCTTCCACGCCTCCATGTTTTCCTCCTCCATCGTCGTCTTCGTCCTCCTTTCTTCCCTTTCTCTTTCCTTCGCCTCCGTCATTCCCAAAAGAATTACCCTCAGTACTATCGTTGTCGCAGAGATCCCAACCGATTGGCCCTGGTGGAAGTTGGTCGATCAGTAGCCCATGACGTTTGAACACATCGCGAGTTCGCATCGACAGAAAACGAGCTAGCTCGAAGGTAAACCGTCTCCGAATCCTGTTAGTATGAAAAGCTTTCAGGCGAACTAAGGCCCTCTCGTCGTCAAAATTTTCCCGGCAAAAAGCTTCGTGCGCCAAGTGGTTGGCGATAGCAACGATGAGTCGATTGGTGCCTTTGCCAAGACCACCATTCGTTGAAAAAGCAGCAGTAAGGAGGGTAGATCTAGACGGGTTGAAAGTTCCCGCATAGTGATTTGCCTTACTTGCAGCTCGATCTTCGAGGGCGGATCCTGGCTTAAGCATCGACTTGTCGATGCTTCGACCTGCGGATGGGTTGACGATTGTTACGACTATCAGAATGGACTTGGTGCAGAGGTCCTCTTCCTTCTCTCCTGCGTGTAATCCTGGGGGGATTACCAAATCCATCTTGTATAGCCCCTTTCCCCTACCAGTGCCTGTGGTAAAAGGGGAAGAATCCTCAACGGCGATGGGCATATGGCACTCGCGCAGTGTCTTGAGGACCACTCGAACCATCCTGTTATGGAGGAAGGTTGAGGCGCCGGTCTTGGTGCAGACGAGGGAGTGGGCTCGGCTCAAGCGGTCCTTGCATGGTAACAATGTACCTGCACCACAAATTTTTCCTGTGTCACAGTCTGCTCGATCGTGACTCCCCAGTACACGACCGATTGACTCTCGATATAGATCAGGCAGCATTCTTTCATCTGCTGACAGCCCTTGCGTTGTCAACCACGACAAAACTCCCTTGCCTTTCGCTTCCTCCAAGCGGATCAATGCTCTCTTCTTCGACATTTCCTCGCCTGCTACCTTCTGCAAGTCTGTCTCCACCATGTGACGCACTGCTGCATGAAAAGGTTTCGAAAGGAGAGCTTGGGCTCCAAAGACTTGGTAGTGTTGACCAAATTCATTTCGGTTGTAGGTAGACGGTGGTTGATGTTCTACGTGTGTGTGTGTGTGTGTGTGTGTGTGTGTGTGTGTGTGTGAAGATTGCTGTCGGTGTTGTCGGTGTTATTGCTGTTGGTGCTGTCTTTGGCGTTTATTGCTGTCGGTGTTGTCGGTGTTATTGCTGTTGGTGCTGTCTTTGGCGTTTCATTCATTGTTCCGTTGTTGCGGTCAATCGATGAGCCCCCGACAGGTAGTCCCGCCAGCAGGCCGAAGGAGGCAAGCGATGGCAACAAAAAGCCTGTCTCGTTGGCCTTAGGCACAGTGTATTCGTTGAAGTGTACGGTCCCTTGAAGACGTGTATAAATGTGGTCTTGGACACGCACTACACATGTTGAGCTCATGAAAATTCAGGCACGAACAAGTACATGAAAACAGCACAAAAACAAAATGATGCAGCTGACATAGTCAAGGGGGGCACCTTGGGCATTCGTTGTAGCGTCCCCACGTCCGCCGCTAGGCCGACCTTGACCTCAGAGACGCAGAATCCCGCGTCCTCGGAACAGAGCCTAATGTCGCAGGCGCAAGCCAAGTCCACCGCTCCTCCCACGCACGCCCCGTGGATCGCCGCGATCACGGGCTGGGGGCAACGCTCCACGGCCGTGAACGACTCCTGAGTTTCGGTCGGGCAACGTTGGTTGGTTGGATTGACGGTGGCCGTGAGACGCCGAATGGAGTGGAGCGGGGTACTTCACTTGTGTTGCGTTGTAGAAGTACGAAGCAATGGTGGCGTCGCGGGGGAGGCCTGCTTGCACTAGGTAGGTGTTAAACCACCGACCAAGGACCGCCTGTGCTATCCCTCTCAACAGGAGGGTTTGCACATTATTACAAACATTGATACCACCGTGGAAATTGAAGAAGGCACGGGGGGGAGGGGAGGGGGATCAGATCTACAACGTGGCGCTTGCTATTTACTTCCATGTCTTAAAATTTTGGGGACGGTGCCTTCAGATTGCGCACTTTCATCTCCGAGACGGAGCACTAACCGCACCCTCTCACAAAGCGATGGCAGAGCAGTGGATGCCGTCTGTCGAAAAGAACGGTAGCAGGCATCTTGCCAAGCGCGAAGGCATACTTGTTGGGAGTTTTCAGCTCGCTCGGCAATACATGCACGGCAAGATGCATTCCAAGAATGGTTTGTGAGTAACGTGGGCTCGGGTACCATACTTTCTTGGCCACGGCAGGCAGCAGTAGCAGCGTTAGGATAAGGAGAGATTTTGCTTTCTGGCTTGCCCACTGCCAGGGAACATACGTAAGGATATTGTCTGCCGCTGCCTACACAAAGGGGGCGCCTGAACAAACAGTTGGTCGAAATTACATACCACAGCGGTTCGTTGATACAACAACCCTTCGCGCCTACATTGTACATGTACAAGGCAGAAAATTGATCTCGGAAACAAGTGAGTCGATATTGTCTACGAATCATTGATGTGGTCTGGCAGGAGACAAAAAACATTGACCTCTACTCACTACCTTCTCGCCCCCGCCCCTCGAAGGAAACTTTACGTCGGTGCTCGCAATCAAAACCCACATTGTGGTACTGCTGTAGACATGACAACGGAAAGTCCACCCATGTGCGAAGAAAAGACAAGGCCCCTTTCTGTGTCAGACGCGGACTTCGCTTCTCTCTACTTGTAAAGGTGTGCATATGTCTATGTTCACATTATCTAAACGACTCGAGGGTGTATACCTCTCACAAATTGTCACAAATAGGCTAAAACGGTGGGAGGAGGGGGCAACACTTAACGAAGGCCGTACGCCAATCTGAGGCAAAATCAAAAACATCTACACACTCGAGCCGACGCACGTCCGAACCAAGCAAAAAACGTACGTACCTGCATCGCCAAAGCAAGCTTTCGGAAACGAAACGCTCGTCGAGCGACGTCCTTCGTGGCCCTCCCGATGGCGTCGAAGTTTGTCGTGTCGGACAGGTCCAATCCCGCGGAAAAGTGGTCGCCTGTTGGGCGATCCAAGAAGAGGACGGGAAGCCAAAGGAACGGGGGGTTGTTGTGTCGTGTATTGGGGCTGTTAGTTTGTGAGGAAGGCGAACAAGGTACGCACGACGAGAGCTACAAGCGTCGTGGGTAGGCGCGGGTATGACAATATTGTTGCCGCAATTGTTTCGTTGTGTTTTGCTTTTTCGAATTTCGGATGATAAATGTCATGACTTTGCGTATGACATATACACCGCGGCCTTCTGGCCTTCCACCACCTGGTAATCCCCGCAAATCACCGGCATGCACCCACCCGGTTGCCCTGTTGTTGCCAGTGTAGACCTGAGATCGCTGAGGACCAGAGAGTGACACTGCGGTACTGCGGTACAGGTACAAGGGGTCTCCCCTCGTCTAAGTTGAAAGGGATCAAAAAGTACAGTGTACAGACAGTGCCAACTTCTTTCACACTCTCTTTACATTGAATGCTACAATGATACCACGCTTGTGTGCTCCGGCCGCGGGGCCGTTGTGAGGAAGCACTCGTCCAGTACATGACACATGATCTCGTTCGCTCAAAACGCCCTGCTGCTGTGCCCTGTTGATATCTGAAGTGTTCCCCAAATGGCCCCACACCGATGCTGTTCTTGTCACACTGCTTGTAATCCTTGACAATTGCATAGCAGCAGGTGGCTGCCTAAAGTAGTGAGTGCGACATGCAGACATCGAAGAGGACGCTTCTTGACGCAGCTGCTGTAATAAAAGGGGTGCCGTAACGCCGCCACGTAGATGTGCTGCGGCGGAACCGCGGCAAAATGGCGAAGGCGATTCTCTTCTTGCAAGCCCCAAGTTCATGACAACAAACGCGATATGTGCATGATATTGCTAGCTCAGTCTTGCCGTGCTCATCGAATCTCAGCAACTCACCCATCCCAGACACCACAACCGCCCGCACGTCGGCATCCTCCGAGATGAGTTGGAAGCATTCCCGACACTCTATCCAAAACTTTGCGTTCATGGCGTTCCTCTTGCTCGGCCGATTTATCTGTACATGCAGAACGTGTCGTGCCGGGAAAGACACGAGCAGCGTCTCAAAACCATTGTACATAATGGCGTGGGAAGGTGAAGGTGGGAGCAGCAGTACCGCTGTGTTATCACGGATCGGCGTCTCTCTGCTGGCTACTTTTTCCGGGGGCACGCCTTCGCAACGCATTGTGCACCCCCAGTGCCTCTCGCGGAGCACCCATAACCCCAAGTCGCGCCGCATGCTCCACGATACAGCATTCCAGTATTCCACAAACCAACACACCAGCCCAGCCTCGGCTACTCTATCTTGCGTACACAACGGCACTACCTTCCATTCGGCCCGCTACAGCAGAAACCGGCCCACCTTTCCGCATTCTCCAGTAGCACTCGTCGTTCAACGTTCAACGAGAGAGCGAGAGACGAGGAGGCGGACCAAGCACGGGACTCTGTTCACAGTACCGTGGTTCGTTCCCACATGCATCTGTATCCGACGCGCGCTGTACTGGAAGGGGCAGAGGTTGAGATATCCACGCTGCTTTCCTACGGTGCCACTCGCGAGCAGTGGAGAGAGTGACTACGGGCGCCGCTAGAGCACGCAGAAGCCCGTGGAGAGGTTGGCCTCGTCAAGAAACTGCTAAACGCCGGGGCAGGTGGCGGTGCGGGATGGAGCGGGTGCCATGGCCGGACTCTGCTCGATGCTGCTGCCCTGGGCGGAAACCCCGACGTCGTAACAGCGTTGCTCAGAGCAGGATGTCTACCGGACGTCAACGCGGTATCAGTCTCGTCCAGGAGGTCGGCGTGGCACCTGTCGGCTGTGTGCGGCCACGAAGCTGCCGCCAGGAAGCTTATTCTAGCCGGAGCTGACGCAGACCGTGTTGACCCTGCTGAAAAATGCGGTCCTCTCCACGTCGCCGCAGCTGGAGGGCATTGTAGTCTAGTGGGCGATTTGCTGATCGGTGGAGCTCATCCGAATGCGCGCGACTTGTTGGGGCGTACTCCTCTGTACCGTGCTGCTTACATGCGCCAAGATATGGTGGTGGCAGTGCTCACGGACATGCCGAGTACGGACAAGGACATTTTGGACTACCGCGAGTTAACTCCGTTGATGGTGGCGTTGCAGAGGGGCCACCTCTCCACCAACAAGACTCTTTTGAACGCCGGTGCTGATGTCAGCATACGTCCCAGGCACGAAAATTCTGCTCTTCATCTGGCCGCCCGGCAGGGACAGGTGGAGATCATAAAAGCCATCCTGGAGCATGGGGCCGACGTCAACGATTCAGACTCCAATGGCTTGACCGCTTTACATGCCGGCTGCATGTCGAACCAAGCAGGCGCCGTGAGGTGCTTCTCGACGCCGGGGCCGACATCGATAGGAAAAATGGTGCATTTACACCTCCTAGTTTGGCCATCACTATTGGCGCTAGTGTCCAAGTCGTGCACACCCTATTGCGTCGGGGATGCCAAGTCAGCGGGCCATTGGACAAAACAGCGTTGCACCGGGCATGTTTATGGCGCCCGGTTTCGATGCGATTGTGGATCTGCTCTTGAGGTGGGAGGTGTCAGAGTTGACCCTCGACAATGCCGGTAGTACGCCCGCTGCACTACTCAGTGTTGCAGAGGGTAGCTCTTCTCGCACGGCACGCGAAGTGGAACGTGCACACGCGTTGCTGGCGAATACTCCGGCGGACAGGGCGTGGCGGCGCCGGAGCTGGCTTGTTATGCTTCGTGCGAGGACAGAGGGGGAAAGGGTAATGCACTCGGCCAGCAAAGGTAGCAGCAGTAGCAGTGAAACGGAAGCGGCTGGCCGAATGATGCTGCGGAACAAAGACAGAGGTGGTGGTAACAAGGTGCCACGGACAGCAAACGGTGGAGGTGGTGGTGCTGGAAGCGTAGGGAAAAACAATTAGCTCCAAGTTGTGGGAGGTTGGGCGATTTGGGTGGCTTAGTGGCGAAGCTGTTTGACGTCCTGACAGAGTCAGAGGGGGTGTTCCGCACCGTTTTGGGCCACCTCTGAAGAGTCGGGACCTGTAAACAAGCAGGTGTGTTCCGGTGCTCATCGTTTATTTGCGACAACGCGTTTATTGCAGCGTTTCTGTCTTCATAGAAACACAGAATGCTGTCGTGTCTTTCATGTGTTCGAGCACTGCGGGGTCGACCTGCTGTTTGGCGTCAATCACTACGTGCGACTTCAAGATTACCTGCACTGTACTACTGGAATCGAATCAACAAGCCATGCTTGTGGCGTTTCCCTCCCCTACTTCGTTGCAAGTGGTATTCCCGTTTGTATTTCGAACACGTGCAAGAATTCCATCCCCCTAATCGCGTGCCCAGCCCCCAACATGGTTGCTCGTGTCGACATCATATCATGTAGCCCAGCAAGCACCGGTAAGGATCACACCGCTGAAGCAAACGATGCAACCTACATAGGCGTTCGCTTTGGATGTCCCACAAACTTGCCTGCTTCGTGGTGTGGTGACTTCTTCTGCGGTACAGACGAGGATCTCGCGATGAAAGCCCGTCGCTACAATCACGCTATCGTAGACATATATTGGGTAGTCGACACGAAATAATCGCGACCATTTCGTTCGCGCCCCACAGGTAGGAGCGGAGACCCCGACGAGAAGGCAGATGGGGCCGCGACCAGCCCGGGGAACGTCGACATCCCTCTCAACTGTTCGAAGTGCGACGACTGGCGTTCCTTCGACGACGTCACAGCCCGGAACGACGGGCAGATGGGCATCCCGCAAGGGATCGTTGACGACGAGCGGAAGGTGGTCTCCCTGCGGCAGGGGCGGCACCGGCAGTGTGGAAGCTGCTGCTGCAATCCTCCCAAAAATGCCACGGTGATGATTGAGGGCGTGGTGTAAAAGGTCGAAGCTGGACGGACAAACGATTCCGGGAGTGGAAGAGGCGGAGCACCGCGTGACATGATGATGGCTAGAATCCGACAAGCGGACGAGGTTGGGGGGGGGCGGGGTTCCTGTCGGCCAATCCCCTTTACCCTGGTTTTGGGGTTTTGAGAGTAGCAACGTTGTTAGGGGGAGGAGTAGGCAGCATTGTTGCGTCATCACGACAAATGTGTAAGAACCCAAAAAGGGTCAGTTAGTGTAGATTAGGACCCCTTGTGTTTTCCTTGTTATATGATGCCGACGCGTGCGTCGCTCGGCACGATCGCCCTCGTTTGATGCACCATGTACCAGTACAATGTGTGCATGTATGTGATGCGATAGTATTTCCAACCCAATCATTTGTGTGTGGCATGGGGTAGAGAGAAAGGGGGGTGGGAGGGAGAGACGAGAGGGAGAACGAGACAGAGTTTTTTGCGTTTTCCGTGGTCTGTTTTTGATCAGCAGAGATTCAGTGCATATATTCCGAGTTTGAGGTTTGCTTTAGAAGGCATCACGATTGAACGTGACTTTCGCGCAGTCAAGCGCGGTTACAGACTGCTTGAGCTGTAGGTGCTACCACGGATTGCGCGCACCACACCTGCGGCCTACTGTGCTGTCCTGCAGCGCTGTGTCTTGCTGTTCGTTGTCACTTTTTTGTGGGATGCACACACCGCGGTACACGAACGCACCATAGCGTGGGGGCTGACGTGATGGCCAGCAATGTGGTAAGGAGTAACATCGCCAGCGAAAGAAACAACAGGGATGAAGACTGGGGAGACCGAGTATTTGCTGTAGACAGAGAATGTCCGCAGTGGAAGAATGAACTGCGAATATTGCCGGTGAAACCGCTTTTGGTGCGGTACGACCTGCACCCAGTTGGATACGACCTACAGCCGGTTGGATTTCGATGCGAGCGTATCACATGTACTGTATGTGGTTCTTTCACAGTGCTTGACCATGGACCAGAAAGTGGCAGGTTTTGGATGGGAATAGGTATGCTCACCCCGGCCGGTGGTATTTAGAGCGCCTTGAGGCGGTTTCTTGCGGTTTGAAAATTCCAGTCGAAAAATTGAAAATTTCAATTCCCAGCCGAACAGAGCTTCTTCCGGTTTGGAAAGTTGATTTTTTTGAGAAATAAATTTTCAACTCGGACCAAAAAAAAATGGAAACGCTCTGCGCAGTTGAAAATTTCAGAAATTTTCAAGTCGCGACCGAGTTGAAAAAGCTAGTTGGAAATCCAAACCTAGGGGAGGGGGGTGCATCACACAGACCCCCCACCACACCTGCTGTGGTCGCTGGAAGCACCCGACAGTGCACAACAGCGCACCACAAAGCAGCACAGCACAGCACAGCACAGCACAGCACAGCGCGTGACAGCCTAGCACAGCGCCTCACACGCGCACACCCGGTGCTTTGTTGTCAGCGCGGTGCGCCCGATATGGGGACCGGCGACCATCTGTTGGAAGCAACAGTGCTGTCAGTCGCGTTGGCGGCTTTACACCAGATCCAAGAGGAGGATGGTCGCCGGCGCACAGCACGCTCGGTATCCTATTGGGATGCTGTGCCGTTCGCGCGCTTGATCACGGAGCACGCGTACCAGATGGCCGCGTTCNGCCCCCCCCCCCCCCCCCCCCCTGTTTTTGGCGTTTCCAATTCCGTCGATCCGTAAGAAGGCTGCGCTATTTTCGAGTGAGATTTCCCGAGTTGGATCTGGGAATTGAAAATTTCAAATTTTCAACTGGAATTTTTCAAACCGTAAGAAACCGCTTAACAACGAAAAGAACCACAAAGGACCACGAGACACCCCCTGAAAGGATGTCGTGTCTGACAAGCTGGCATCTTGATTATCATCCTCTCGAACCGTGATCGTTAACGCCATAGATTATTTTCTGTTTGCCCAGGACCTTGACCTTTTTGTTCAAGGGGGCTACGAAAACAAGTACACCTATGTAAGGCAGAGCCGAGGGTCTAGTCTAGATTCGTACGGGTTGATCCGAGAGGTGCCATCCAGACCTGCCCCTCGCCCCTCCCCGACGTACGACATCAGCGGTTTTGCCACCGATCAGGGATGGCGACTCTTGGCTGCTGCCTTGATTAGATGCGCTACTTACCGCTTCAGTAAAAATAACTCGTCCGCTACTGTGAAAGGCATGTTTTGGGTTTGTTGGCACGTGGAAGCATCTTGAGGAACGGAGAAAACATACTTGAGCCGTGGTACAAACCTGGTGCACCACATGTATATTATGACCACAAACTCCGGAAAACTCAGCCAGTACCGTGGATCATCGACCGGAGCATGGTTCCAAAAGGTGCTGCGGGCAGACCTCGTAATCAAAGGAACACATACAAAACAAAAAAGCCCGCCTGGCCTGTTTCGGTAAATCCTCGCGCACCCAGGCTCATGGACAAAAATGGAAACCCCTAGCAACGCCATTGGGATGCCACACTCCTCGTTACCTCCCGTAAATCGTAGGCAGAATCACCGAGCTAGAATTCCGCTCGGAACTAGAGCGCCGCACTGCCTACTCAAAGCCAACCCCTCCGCTCAAGCAGACTTCCAGGAACAAATGAAAGATCAGTGACTCCCCCCCCTCTGCCCAGTAGCATCATACATGCGAACAACAGTCTTGCAGAACGACCGACAAACGCCCAAACACCACAGCAGCAGTGACTCCATGCACCGCATCAGCAGGGCATGCTGTGCTGCCTGCCCTGCTTCCTCTCGCGTGTTACGATGGGGAGTGACGGTGGTAAAGGAAGTATGGTGCTCGGTCGGGAATCGCCGATTCGTGCAGACTCCTGAAGGAGCGCACAACAAAGAGAGGTAGACAGACAGAAACAGCAATGAGAGATGGAGAAAGGCACGTAGCAATTCGGATGAGGGGCACGAAGTGAGGGTATACGTCAACAAGTCACGTCAGGCAAGATGGCTCTTTGGGTGCTTCTTCGGCAGACAACCATAGAATGGGCTTGTAAAAATATCACCAAGAAGCAAGGGCGTGTCGGTCATGTGACTCTTCCTCCGCCTTGGCGAGCTTCGTGCCCCAATTAGACTTTTCGCCGCTTATCGGTGTGTACACATGCCCATCCGGTACGAGGCTAACAGTCTCGAGCGTTGTGGAGGGGTGGGCAACGAACTTTGAATACATCAAGAAAGAAGCATGTCCACGGCCAAAACTCTGTACGTAGCTCGACTACCTGCGTGCACTCACAGTTATTGTCCTTTCTATCTCTCTTACTACTCTGTGTTCATAGCTGGGCCCACCATCATACATATTAATGAGGAGCGTAGGTCTTGCGCCGCCAACGCGTGGTTCGGTTTCTCATCACCGTGTGTGCACTGATAGCCCGTTTCGCTTGCTTGTATAGCCTGCTACTCCGGCGAAACCACAGACCAGGCCTCTAACCTCGTCAGCTCTTTTTCCTCTGGCTTTTCGAGCATGTCCGCCACGACCGCCAGCATCGAGTGTCGGGTCTGCTTCTTGAACTGGTCCAGGGGCATCCAGCACGCGTCGGCGATCTCGTGGTTGCACTTGTTGATGTCCAGCGCGCCCGCCCCCGCATCCTCGGGGAGCATCAGCCGGCAGATGAAGTACAGGTCCGAATTGCCGAATTGCATCTGGACAGAAAATGAGACATGACAGGAGAGTTGTTACCTACGAGTCAGGGGGGGGGCGTGATAGATATACTTGTAGCAATGCCAAGTGGTTGTAGGATTGTGTGGTACGTGGAATGTATTT